AAGATTTTAGTTCATATTTCTGGACTTTTCAAAAGAGAAAATGTTCTTGCAAAAATGAGAACTTTTCGCTTTGACCATGATTTTCGAGAATTTGTGAAAACTGTATTTTGCTCATTTCAACTCTAATCCATAATCAAACCCATAATAATTTATTACCAAAATGATCAGCTCATCGAGCTCTACAAACTCTGAAAATTTCAGCCAATTCTGCGAAAGTCGTGTATAGAGTGGTACGTTTCCCATGGATTCACCCTTTGTTTGAAGATGGTAGTCAACGAGCTGTCGAAGCAAAAGGATTATTAATTGTAGTAGAAGAACCAATATTCGTAGTTACATTACACATTCTGCACAAGTTACTTGGTCCTATAAAAGTCTTATCAGACAAGTTGAAAGGTACTTGATGAAGCACAGAGTTGTAGAAAATATGATTACGTCTCATCTTTATTTTGTTAAGCTAAAGCACTTGATTATGGCAATGCACAACAATTGATTTTATCAGTTATGGAAGAACTTCGCCAATTACGAGATGAAAAATCTTTTGAAAAAATTTTTCAAACAATTACCATTTTTTGTCAACAAAACAATGTTAATCTCAATCAAAAACCAAAACATCGAAAACGAGTTGTGTCTACGAGATTTAAAGATTCAGTAATTATCAGTACGATCGGGCAACGAGATGATGAAAGTGAATATTATTATCGAACATATATTTACTATCAAGTAATTGATAATATGTTAGTTGAATTAGAAGATGGATTTTCATCAAAAAGCTTACAACTTTTATCAGGTATATCATCATTATGTCCAGATAGTAATACGTTTTTAGATTTTGATTCATTAAAACCAATTGCAAATCATTTAAATGTTGATCTTCAAGTCTTATCCAACGAATTAATGGTGGTGAAACTTGTTGCAAAATAAATCATTATCTACCATTATCGATTTATACAAAGAATTGTATCGATTTCAAGAAGCTTTTCCATCGCTTATTACACTTATACAAACTGCTATAACAATACCAGTATCTTCAACGACATGCGAGCGAACATTTTCAAAAATGAAAATGATTAAAACAACACTACGAAATACAATGAGCGATGATCGCTTGAGCGATCTAACTTTGTTGGCTGTAGAACGTGATATTGATATTAATTTTGGACAGGTTATGGATGACTTTTCAGAAATTGATAAAAGTAGTCGAATTATGCTTAAATGAAAAATTACCATTTTTCTTTTTTTTGTATTTTTGTTCAAATATATGATCCAACTGGTTATTCATTAGGAATAGTCAGTGTAGATATAGCCTTTTATCATGTTGAAAATATTATACTTGAAAATTTAGATATGTCAATAAAACAAAAAAAGCCTGGAGCTGAGCCCCACCATCCTTGAATTTCTGGTTACGCCCCTACCTTAATCTAGCAAATAGATATTTGCTTTTCAATAATCTTTCGTAAACAATAATCAACTTTTATGTACGTGCATATGTTTAGTAAACGTACAAAAAATATCACCAAGTATGTACACAACTATGACTCATACGTACTGATCGATATCAGTAATACCTTCGTCAGTTTCGTATATCAAATCAAAATAATTTTCTATCATATATTGAATTCATTAAGGAATTGAGATCACAGCGTATCCTGTTCTTAGATTTAATTAATAAAAATTATTTATGAATATCAGATCTGATGCCTTGCTTCGGTTCTCAATTCCATATCGAACAACGCTCAAATGAAAATTTTGGAATTTGACAATGGTTGAAAGAAAGTCTTCATTAGTGTCAAAATATCGAACAGAAAATAAGAACACAAAAGAAGAATTTAAAACTTTTTATCGTTTTTTAATCGGGTGACAACGATCTATATTGAGTCATTTTAACGATAAAATGAATTTTTGTATAGTTTATTAAAGCTTTGACTTATGAATCAGTTTTATTCGGGTTTCTAACAAAATACCAGAGACTAAACAATGATTTTGTTATTTTAATTTGATCAAAGCCAAATAGAAAAATTTGTTTTCTTTTTGCTTTTTAATCAATGCAAAACAGCTGTTAGCCAATTTATACCGAACTAAAATATGAAACGTGATATAACTGCTGTTACTAATCACAAGAAAGTACTTTTGTTCTATCAATTCTGAGACACACTTCTTCACCAACCTTTTACTTCATCCTCCAGAAGTAAAATAAGAATTTAGTTCATATATTGCAACGTGACGTTATCGAAAACGTCCTTTGATCTTGTATTGAGAACCTATGTCATAATCTGAGACACGGAAGGGAGAGGAGTATAGCTAAGGCATCTGTCACTGCCTGTGATACGTATGGGGGAGAAGCTTTGCTAAAATGTCTGTCACGTGTGTAATTTGTGGATGCGGATGTCTATGGAGAACTAGATCTTCTTTTCATAGACACCCACACCTCTTGAACGCTAAGTCAATTGTCTAATAATATAAAACCATGGTTCGAAATTGTTCGGATGAGCGCTCAAAAGTCATTTTGAAAATAATGTATAATTGATCTGCAACAAGTGAAAAAATTCAATGATGCACAAAACTTAAAAGATTGAAATATTGCAGATAAGTCTAAATATGTTTAAGCATTACGACAGAATAGTTACGTACAATTTAAAATGTTTAGAAGAGATGGACAAAAAAAACTTTTGGCGTGACCTATATAGCAGACGTGACTGCGCACCACTTTTGTATTCTGATTCGTCGGTATTCTTTTGATTTACTTTTACAAAATACTTGTTTCTCATCAATTGTACTATTCTACAATTCACAAAGATTCTAGACAACACATACCAAAGAATACAACGAACGATAGAAATCAGATTTAAAAAAACATTGAGATCCAGAAGCTACAATTTTGATCGAACTGTACGTATTCTTAGAAAAAAAATATATGGACAAAATCAGCCAAAACGGGATAAATTCGTTTTTTTAGAAAAAAATCGAAGCTGAATTGCAAAAGTTTAGCATGCTTACAAACTGTGATCTCTTGTTTAGAAAAAATCATATTTGTTTCTCGTTACCGTAGTTTCGAAAACTAGAAAAACCTGTTTTATTATAATTGTCACTACATTACACAAATTTACTTGCCTTTTTCTTAGAAAAAAAACAAAAAATTGTATCAAAACCTCCTTCTTGGTAATCAGGTTTTCTGGAAATCTTAATGAAGCCTAAAATAATTTTATAATATGAGCTACGAAAGAGCACACTTTGGACAATAGGAATCCTAAGTTTCGCAGTAAATAAGTGAACATCTGCAGAGAGATGAATAGATCAAAAATAGTGTCTATCTGTACTCTATCACATCGCTAATGACGAATAAGCTTAATTTTTTGAAA